CTGAAGCTATGCTTGCAGATACTGTGTGTTTCATTGCTTCTTATCAATTCAATACCTCAATGTAAAATGGGTGTTGACAGTGGTGATTTTCAGTTGCAAATTATAACTTTTCTTTATCATAACTTTTAAAGACTAAATAGTTTTTTATGATAAATGTCACAAAGGTTGGTCATAAAATATATTATTAGTCTTTGAATTGCAAATTTGGTCATTCAAATGCTTATTTTGTTACTTCAAAAATTGGTTGATAGAAACAAAATAAAAAGTTTTATTCTTTTTTCTAATATTTTATTTCTTTTAGAAATCTATTTTTGGTGCAATTCTATAAAAATTATTTGAATTATTTTATTCATCTTCAATTAAATAGCTATTCCCATTCATCACCTGACTGCCTTACATTTGGGGTTGTCAGATGACATGAAATATTTTATCACTTGCCTGTTCAGCTCTTGCTTAAGATACAGACAAAAATTGAGGGTAAAAAAATATTTGTATGATTTGTGTGGGTTTTCTTTGTCTACAAAGCAAAGACAGTTTAAATATTTTTAGTTGTTTTTCTCATGACTCAGTGATCTCTCTGTTTATGTTTGGAATCATACAAACAGCTTCAATTTTCTTTTTTATTTACAGTAAGAATTAAAATGATTTTTTTTTTTTTTTTAAAGCTACCTTCATCTTACTTATTATAAAATGCAGATTGTGTGTGTGTGTGTGTGTGTCTGTAACGTTTATATATTGGATCGGATTTCCTACATTTTTCAACCGATTTCAACAAAACTTCACAGGACTATATAAAATTACCTTGTGGTGGTTCTAATAGCGCCAAAAATGGGAAAAATATAATTGTTTTTGCACAAAATCAATTTGAAAACACGATTAAGAGACATCGTGAAAATGGAAGGGGGACAACTCACATCGGGTTGTTTGTGTGTGTGGGTCCTTTAAATATGGGAGCAGATTTCCTATATTTTTCAGCCGATAAAACAAAACTTCACTTTTTTTTTTTTTTTTTTTTTTTTTTTTTTTTTTTTTTTTTTGGGTAGTGTTTCTTATTCTCTTGCACACTTTTTTTCTTTATTTTAACATTCAGAATGCTTTAAAAATTCCATTTACAAGACAATTATTTATAATAAAATTCTATTCAATTGGGAGACTCATAACGATTGAAAACAATGTTTTTTGTTTGAGTTTTGGTTTGACCAATTCGTAAAAAAAAAAAAAAAAAACTAATTAAGACATGCGTGTCCGTCAACCTTAAACAATAATCTAACGATCTCTACTGATTGTAATGTAATACAAACATCGAATAAATTCTTTATCTTTAGGGAAAGATAATGAAATCTAAACATACACAAGTCCTAACTAAAAAAATAATAACCGAACGGGAAACTACTTTAAATACACATGGTGTCCAATTTTTTACTGTATTCAATAAGTAAAAATCATAAATTGTAAAAAGATTATTATTACAGAAAGGCTACTAAATGAATAAGATTTGTTAGATCATAATTAATAAACCCAAATAAAGTTAATATTTTTGTATTAGAAACAATGAGTGGAAAATATATTCAAATCAGAATTCTAATTATGAATCACCACAAGCAAAATATGCATTTTTTTTTTTACTGTATTCCATAAGTAAAAATCATAAATTGTAAAACTAAAAGATTACAGAAAGGCTACCTACATTTTTCAACCGATTTCAACAAAACTTCACTTTTTCTTTTCTTTTCTTTTTTTTTTTTTTTTTTTTTGGCATGTAGTGTTTCTTATTGTCTTGCACACTTTTTTCCTTATTTTTACATTCAGAATGCTTTAAAAATTCCATTTACAAGACAATTGTTTATAATAAAATTCTATTCAATCAGTAGAGACTCATAACGATTGAAAATGTTTTTGTTTGAGTTTGGGTTTGACAAAAAAAAAAAAAAACTAATTAAGACATGCGTGTCCGTCAACCTTAAACAATAATCTTTGTCAATTTTATTTTTCAGTCTTTATGATGGTGGATACTTGATCTATCTCTTACTGTTATATCCCCAGGCAACGCCGGGCTCTACTGCTAGTTGACAATAAAAAGCTTTGTATATTCTCTGTCTCGGGCAATAAATATGATTCTTCTAATGGCATATAGGAATTTTCACTAATCGTAATGGTATGCATGACTTGTTCCCTATTAACTATTGTAGGCTACTTTACTACTTAGTATAGTGGAAATTGTGAATTGGTTTTAGTAGTGTGCAACAGGTAAAACTTATTAATTTTGGGACTGAACTCAAGAGAAAGTGAAAGAAAATATATATATATATATATATATATAAGAGAGGGTGTTGGAAAGTTCTTGGCTTGACTCACTTCTCAATGTCAGTCTTTCGATGACCAACTATCCAAATGTCGATTTGACAAAGTAAGTCAGCCTAAGCTGCTATTTACACTCCTTCATTCTTTAAGTATGTCAGCTGTAAACTGAAAGGAAGAGACAAGTTTGTTGTCTTCTCAAAAACTAACAAAATATTTAGGATTATAATTTGTATTGTTTCTTTTTATTAATGTGTTAATAGAAACAAATTTCTCCCTCTCTCAACTGGAAGCATTTCATACTGGTCACTTTTGGTTTGAAGCATATTGAAGATTTTTTTTTTTTTTTTTTTTTAAATTTGTTTCCACTTGATTACATAAATTTTATATTTGTGGACAATGGCAATGATTAACAAGCTTATCTTGCCAGCTAGTGCAAGGAATTTAACCCTCATTGGAGGTGGGGTAAATATTATGATCCTGTGCTAGTTTTAAGCTAAGCTTACTTGCTAACCAATATTTAACAATAAGGGAGATTGTTTTACTCTTTTAATACATTAATGCTTTTGATGGATTTGATCATTTTTTTGAACTCACAAGAGAAAATATATTCACTATGTTTACAATATTCACATGTAGATTATTTACTAGTTTACAAAATCCATTCTCTTCTCACTTGATTATTGTTAATCTTGGCAAAAGATATTTACCATACATGAAAAATAAAGATGCCTCTTGACTAATACCAACTATCATTTATTATTACTTTTTTAAAAATTTACTAAAAATGAAGCAACAAAAAGCAAGCAGTAATTCTACCTATAGATGGATGATTTTGAATTGACATTTTCTGATTATTTTTCTGCTATTAATATAGTGATACTAGCTGTTTCCTTATAAGGAAACATTCTCTATATTGACCAACTTTCAGTTGAAATTTATAAAATCTTTCTCTTAAAACCATTTTTCATGAAAATAGGTTTTTCAAGTCTAGTAACTTTTTTTTGCTCTTTCCAGTATTGATGTGGGATTCCTTCATCACTTTTTTTTTTTTTTTTTTTTTTTTTTAAGTAGTACAGAATGTCAACATCTTGATTATGTCATTATTTTTTCTTTGAGTTACATGTGATATCTGCTTTAGGTGTTGCTATTTTTCAAGTGATGTGATTTCTGTTATTTAGTACAATTCTTTGTTTGTGATTTTGTAACATCAGTTCACAAGGTTCAAAGAGGGATGATCCTAACCAAGACCCACAGGTTTCACTCACTCAATACCATTTTTAACCACTGATCTAAGAAAGCGGTTGTACACAGTTGACAATTTAGATATTTCACAATGGGTTTGGCAGCATGCACGACATCCATATAAAAGTCTCAATCTGACAAGGCTATTTTAAGAACATGACTCTAGTTTTCAGTCTGTTTTGGTTTTGTGGCAATCTGTGGTATTGGGTGAAACTACTTCTAGCATAGCCTATTCTATGTTTAATTTCCTCATCTCCTATACTAAATTTGTTACACAATGTATTTGAAGTATTTAGTATTTACTTATTTCACATCCTGAATGTTTCATGATGGATTCAGGATATCTGCTATCACTGCTTTCATTCCAATTCCAGATTATAGTTTGTTTTGGAATGGTTTATTTTGAGTCCTATTTCTTGGAACACCTGGTAGAGGATGTTGATTTTTCTGTTCAAGATCATTCTTATATCAAAACTATGAATGAATACCTATGCCATCAGCATCCCCCCCTACCATCATAAGTACATTGGCTTCAGGAGGGGAAGTAAGATCATTGTCTTGTAGATTCATTTAGGATGTGTTATAGAATGCTTAAACAATCAGTGCCTATCTCTTTACATCTATGCTTATAAATGCATGAGGCATAGCCTAGGAAAAGATTAAATAGACTGCGGTTTTCATTTATTCCTTGTTGTACTGCTGATGAAGTTGCAAATATTTCCATGTTCGGATCCTCACCAGATATTATGAGAAACACTTTTATTTAAAAAATTTTCCTGGTGTAATTTCAGAAAGTTTATTTGCATTTGATTAACAAGTAATGTAAATTAAATTTTATTGAAATTATGTAAATGACCATGAAAATATTAGCAAAAGGCAATTAATACTTTTTTGTTTATTAATGAAATATTGAGTTTTTGGGGGTTTAATATTGTTTTTATGGTCAGTAATTTTACCAAGAACACAACTTATTTCCACATCATCATGATAATGGTGGTTGTTTTTTTGTTTTTTGTACCAATAAAATTTGTCTTGTAAAAACAAGATAGATAATTATTATTTGTATTTTATCATAATACTCAGGTCCTTTTTTTCTTTTCTTTTCTTTTCCTTTTTTGCTTTTTTTTACATTTTTTTTTTTCATTTTTTTTTTGCCTTTTTTTCCTTTTCTTGCTTTTCTTTCCTTACCCCCGTTTTCCCCCTCTTTTTTTAATATTTGAGGGAGGAAGAATATAACAAAATAATAAAAATTTGACTAATTAGTGTCTGTATGTTAATCAGTAAGTTGATGCTGTTGATGTCAGACTGGCTCTTAAGGGTTATGTGATGAAAGTTCAAGTCCCATCAGAAACTAGTTCTTTATTTTTGTTATTAATAACAATACTTTAAGAAAATAAAGAAATAAGTCTACTTCTTTCTAATTGTTTTTTTTTTTTTTTTCTTTTTCTTTCTTTCAGGATCTACCAATTTAATGGATACATTGGAAGATCTTCCACCAGGAATAGGACAATATGATGATTTCCACACTATTGACTGGTTGCGAGACATCGCACGTGACCGCATGCGACATCGTAATATCATCAAAAAGAAATCCGAAGGTATTTGGGAAAAAATCAAAAGTGCCCATGACGCCTGGTCTGGATGGGTGTGTGTACTGCTTGTTGGTATTGCTGCTGGTAAGTTTTCTATCAATGTCTTACTTTCTTCTTTATTGCTTTAAATACCTTATATAATCTGTTCTTGTTGTCGACACCCTATCAGACATCCTGTTTTTATCTTCATTTTGTTGTCTTAATATCTCTCTCTCTCTCTCACACACACAGTCAAGTTTTATGTTAAAATATTATCAGTAAAAGAATGTTGTTAGTGTTAAGATCACATTAGTTAATTACCTATAGATTTGATATATACAGTTTTTAATGAAAATTCATAAAATGAAAAAAATAAATATTTTTTTCAATTCTATCAGATTACTCCAATCCAAACCAATACACTGGATCAATAGCTGCATCTACCACTAGGAGAATTGGTTCTCTGTGTTGCACCAAAAGGTTTTTCTCATCTGAGTCTATCCTTTACATCTATATCCATGGAATACTGTTGCCATATATGATCTGGTGCCCCTGCTGTTCATCTCAGGGTTCTCAACAAAATCCAAAGACAGATATGCAATGTGATCATTCCTGACATGGGGTCTTGACTCCAGTCACTTTCTCACTGGCGTAATGTGGCTTCCCTCTGTCTTTTCTATAAATATTTTCATGGCATCAGCTCTGACAAGCTATTTTCACTGGTGCCCCAACTGCATAAATTTAAGCATACTACTAGGTTGGCATCTCGGTTCCACCCTTTTACTGTTGAAGCAGTTAAATGTAACTGCCTCTTCTACTCCAACAGCTTCTTCTCTTGCACTTCCCGGCAATTGAACTCCCTTCCTCTTAGTTGCTTCCCTGATAACTATAATCTTCAAAAATGTCAATCGACATCTTCTGTTGCCTTGATCCCCATTCTTCATTTTATCCTCTTCTTTTTATCCTTTCCTCAACCCCCCACACCTATACCCAGTCTTTTCCGTTTCTTACACTCTCTGCAGCCTCTTACGTACTAGTAGCTCTCATGCCCTGTTTGGGGTGGTGAAATGCTTAAAAAAAAAAATTCATTGCGTATTTTAAAATTGTTTAGTTGTAACGAATCTTAAAATTTATTAACACATAACAATAATTGATAAAAAATAAGGAAAATATATTGGTGGAAAATTAAAAACATTGATATGAAGAAACTGCCACTTAAGTGACAGGTGAAAAAAAAATATTTAGTAAGTATTGGCTGTCTACTCGTTTTCAAGTATGTGTCTCTGCTAGGTTGGTTAGGTAATCCCTGTTGAAGATGTCTGCTCAGGCATATTTGTGTTTCTTCAACAGCCATAGATCCAATATATTTGTATTTCAAACTATTTTTCAAATCTTGGTTGATATAGATGTTATTTTAGATACAACATTTTGACCAAGTACCCTCTGGTCATTATCAGATATCCACTGATTAGCTAATCGGAGATATTTGTTGATTATTATGGTATCTAGTACCTGCAATGTCAGTTATACAAGTATATTGACAATTACTCATCTCTGAAATGAAATACTAAATCCACAGATTCATCTTGTGGTTTACACTGCAATTATGCTGAACATACCTTAGTTACAATTATTGAGAGAGAGCTCATAATCTGATGTGATCAGTGCTTGAATACAGTCAATTCACTAAATCACTTGGTAAAGATAACCAGTGACTTCCTATATATGGGCTGATCAAAATGTATCTGGACTTGCTATGGTAACGTAGCTGAAGTATACAGAATGAAGACACTTGTCACAGCCCAACCTTGAATTCTGTCACACATGCACACTAAGTTATAATGTTCTCACTTACTTCTATTATTTATATCCATGCTTGGAAGAAAAGTGCGTAGAGTGTGGTTGTCTCCCCGCACCTAGAGGTTTCATCAGTAATCTTTTCAAAAGACAAATCGCACTTGAAAGGAAGATTATTTGAAGATGTCAAGGAAATCCAAGAGAATGTGATAAGGCAGCTACTTTCTTTCCCCAAAAGATGAGTTCCAATGGAAATGACAATGGATAAATTGTGTGGCTTCAGAAGGAAACTGCTTCAAAGGAGATTAAATGCCAAATTGATATTTAAGTTTTATTTTTATAGCACTAGTCCCAATACTTTTTGATCAGGCCTTGTATATTTTCTATAAGTAAGATTGTGTTTTATATACAATTAGTATAAAATTTAAATTTTGTTATTATCCAAAACTTGGTGAGAAGAAAACACAAAGTATTCAGTTTACTTTTAATCATTAGGTTGCTGTTGGTCAAGTCTTGCAAAATAATTGTTAGGTATATACATTTGATGGGGGATAGAAGGGAATAGCAGGGTTAGGGTTATTTAAATCAGAAACTTATCCTGAATGGCCATGTGTCTAGCTCCTTTCATACTAATGTGAGTGTCCCCCAGGGCTACATCCTTGGTTTTACTTTGTTTTTAATTTTCATTAATGACCTTCCCGATGGCAACCTGTTCTCAATTTGGTATCCATGTTGATGACACAAGCATTTACTCTTGTCTCAATAGTAAGTCTGATCCGTTCGATAAGATGGCAGCCAATATTCAACATGGCCTCCAGCATATTGTTAACTGTAGCAAAAGATGGCATATCAATTTTAACACTTCCAAGACTTAACTTCTCTCCATTAATCATCTGTGAAACCTCTCTGCCTCCCATCAATATGGTTGATATACTGATCTCTAGGAAAGTGACTTATTGCACCTTCTTGGGCTAACATTCTCAGCTGACATGAAGTGGAAAGACTATATTAAATCCACTTCTAGGTTAGCTCCTAAGAAAGTTGGTTCACAATGTCATGTGAGACAATTTTTTCTTTCCAGAATGTATCATACATATCTATAAGTCTACTAATGGTCCATGCTTAGAATATTGCTGCCACATATGATCCGGTGCCCCTGTTATTTACCTTGAACTCCTTGATAAAATCTAAAAAAGAATCAGCAACACTAGTGGTCCTGATCTGGCAGCTTGACTTCAGTCACCTTCCCTCTACTATAAGATTGCATCTCTGTTACTTTTCTATAAATATTTTCATGGTAATTGTTCAGATGAGCTCTTTGCTACAGTACCTAGATTTTTTAAATTTAAGCACAGTACTTGACTGTTGTTGAGATCTCATCAGTTTGCAATTGTGTTGGCTAGATGTAACTGTAAGTTCTATGCTAACAGTTTCTTCTCTTGCACTTCTCAATAGAACTTCCTTCTGGCTCCATGCTTTCTAGCGTCCTGAGTATGATGATAAACTACGTCCAGCTGCAAGGCATCTGATCAGGAGGTTTTGAGGAGCCTGGAACCACCTCTTAATTGCTGATGTTCCTAGGTCCACCCTGACCCGGGTTGGTAGCACCTGTTAGGGTCTCAGCAATCGGCAAATAGTTAACACCCAAACTGAGGTTAAAATGTGTAAAAATAGACTTTAATATCAGCAACACATTTTTGTAAAAACTTATTACCAGCAATAAATTTTTGAAGAAAAAACTTATTACCAGCAATAAATTTTTGAAGAAAAAACTTATTACCAGCAATAAATTTTTGAAGAAAAAACTTATTACCAGAAATAGATTTTTGGGAAAAATATTACCAGAAATAGATTTTTGGGAAAAATATTACCAGAAATAGATTTTGGGAAAAATATTACCAGAAATAGATTTTTGGGAAAATTAGATTTTTTGGGAAAAATATTACCAGAAATAGATTTTTGGGAAAAATATTACCAGAAATAGATTTTTGGGAAAAATATTACCAGAAATAGATTTTTGGGAAAAATATTACCAGAAATAATTTTTGGAAAAAATATTACCAGCAATAAAAATCTTGTCAGCATTAAATAACCCATTGAGGTGTTGATATGCTGTAAAACAAACCAAACCATGCTTTCCAGCTAACTTTAATCTTCAAAAATTAAATGCAATATCAATTGCTATCTACTGTCCTCTTGATTACTCTTCCTTTATTCTTGCTTATTAATAAAGTTTCTGTTTCTAATTCTTCCATACCCAGTAACCCCTTGTGTCTTAGTGGCTTTACTGCCTTGCATAAAGTGAAATTGATTTAAAAAAAAAAAAATTTAATCTGTAAGTTCTAAAATTACTTATACTGTGAGCTGTTTCAAAAGCAGTTAAATAAAATGCAAACCCATGCCATCTCCTTAAATATGAGACATTTATATTAGTATAAAAATTGTGATCCTCAAAAAAACAGGTTGAGGAAAAATCTAAAAGTGTACAGCTGTGCCAGCTTATGTTAACCTAAACAGGAGGTCACAAAAGCTTTTTAAGAATCATCAGGAGGCCCCAATACAACTAGTTAATAATGAGAGATTTCTTTAGGAAAATTTGAGTTGTCACTATAAATTTTAATTTTGACCTCAAATGTCCAGGAGGCACCAATGTTAAAGACCGTCATTCAAAAAGTAACAGTAATTGTTTGATGAGAAGACTCTGGGAAGTCATTTAATTTTTGTTGATAAACTCTATGGAAATGGTAAGGAACAATAATATGTGGCTAGAAATACCCATGAAAATTCCACAGTTTTCCTATATGGCACCAAGCAGGTGGAAGAATGTTCCAATCACTTGTGAGCTGCACATGAATCTACCAGAAGGTTTTGCAATTAGAAAAAAAAGAAAAATTTATTTGATCTGGAACAAAGTCGATAGAAATGGAATACGAGTTTGTATTTCTTGTTGATTTAACAAACTTTCCCTTGATAATTCATATATGAAAGTAATGTAATTAGAATGAATTGGTTCAAATATATAGAAAATATCGAACCAAATTTTGTATACATAATTGTCAAGCCCAGGAAAATGGATATCAATAAAGGTTGCTAAGTAGTACAGACAAAATAGTTAGGAGGATTCAATGTTTAATTATAACTTGATCGGTGTTGTAACAAAATTGTCACAACAGCTGGCAAAGACTGGTATCTGCTTAAGCAACACACGTTTTATGTTATTTGAAACGCCCAAAGAAACAACTCTGTTTTTTCTTGTTTGCTAAAGATTCGTTAGATTGTTTTCTGTGAAATATTAATGGTTATAGTTTTAACTCATCACAAAATATTTCACTGATACCTTAAAGTGAAAAACAGCAAACTGTTGCATTATTCAATTGTGAGGTTGAATACAAGAATTTTACAAGTACAGGAATTCCTTGATTAATACACATCTGATTATTGCATTTTCAGTTAGTGCACTAAAATTTTTATATACTAAAAATTCAATTCTTTTTTTTAACCATAATCATTGAAAACTGATTTTTTTTTTTCATAGTTACTGATGTATACATTAGCTGCACTAATCAAGTGATTCCTGTATTGAAAATTATGACTTCTAACTTAATCAGTGTGTAGCATCTTATTTTTTTTAAATATGATATTTAGTTTATGAAAGACAAGTGTGTTTAATAGTTGCTTTATACTTTTTTTTATATATTATGCCTTTAAATTCCCTGAGGAACATAGGACCTCAAGATATCATTACGGTTTCTATAACAAGCCAGTTTTTTAAGTGAGTAGGTTGTTAGCCTACTGTACAACCTTCAACCTGGAGGATCAGGTTTTGAATTCAGAGTTGTCCTTCTCCTAGACCAGTTGCCACCAAGGCTATAGAACCTGGTCTGTCCTGCTATTTACCCATAGCTGGGAGGAGAAGAGGAGGATTCATACCTTTCCCAAGAATATTAGCACATAAGTGAATGTAATGGATTCGACTGGAATTTGAACTCTGCTCTCCGATTCCTCAATCCAAACCACTATCCATTACTCCACTGTGCCGTCTATGAAAGGCAAGTGTATTTAATAGTTGCTTTAGTTTGTACTTTTTATTGTAATTTCTAAAGAATTAATGGATTTTATTTTTTAATTTGACATTTTTATTACTTCAAATGTTATTTTTAGTTGATACCTGTATTTGAGTAGAGGCTTCAATTTATTTTAAACAGTATGTATTTCATCTACCAGCCTGTTTACTTGAGAAAATTAATGAAGAAAATGTGCCAGGAGTTTCACAAGAAAGGAGTGTGAGAAAAGAAACTGTTACATTATTTACATTATTTGGACTATTGTCCTCATCTTTATCACCATATTTATCACAACGTTTCGGCTGTTGTACGCTCCGGCCTTCTTCAGGTGGTTGGAATTTCGAACTGAACCCTTTATTTCGCTCACTGGGGTAGACTGTTCTAGTTCCACATGCCATGTTTGATGGATGTCAGTTATCAGTTATCTCCTGCTAATTTCCCTCTGAAAGTTCTCCACTGCCTTAACCGGGTATTGAACTCACACTCTTTGGGTCCTGTCACTGGATCTAACTAATGCCTTTGTCCACTGTGTCATGTGTCCTTGAGCGTACAACGGCCGAAACGTTGTGATAAATATGGTGACAAAGATGAGGACAATAGTCCAAATAATGTAAATAGTATACATAATACCTCATCTCAGAAATATAGACAGATGTCATTTCTAGTTTTTCCACGTTGTCTCCTTATTTTCAACTTTGTTTTGGGTACTATTACACATCGTACAAATTACTATGTATGCATATTTCATTTTTTCATCTTGTGATAAGTTGACTATTCCCAGCTATTTGATCGTGAATTTGATCACTTGCTAAAATTTCAGTGGTTACATAGTTTGTATCATGGGCAGATTTGGTAAACACTTTTGTTCAAGATCGCTGGTAAAATATTCAGTCACTATAGATGTATGATGATGGCTCTTGTTTCTTCCTCTTATATTCAATGGATGTTTGATCATAGTACAGAGTTTTAACTTCTGTTACATTTTATTATGGAAGTTAACTTTTCCCCCCACCATAAAATTGATATTAACTAACCAATGTTGGTGAAATTTTTAGGTTATGTTTATTTGAACAATATCTCATATCACTTGAATCTATCATTCGTCTGTGCATTGAATATTGCTGCAATATCTGGTCTGGTGCTCCTGCTATATATCTCTAGATTCTCGACGAAATACAAAGGGTCTGTAATGTTATCAGTCCTGACCTGGCATCTCAACTTCAGTCTTTTTCTCACCATCATTATTTCTGTCATTTTTTTACAAATATTTTCACATCAACTGTTCTAATGAGCTATCTTCCATGGTACCTTAACCAAATTTAAGCACACTACTAGATAAGTAGGTCTCATTGTTTTGCTATTGAAATAGCAAGATGTAACCGTAAGTTATATTCTAATATTTTCTCGTCTGTAGAACTCTTTTCTGATTCCTTGCTATCTATGATATTCAAAAATTTAAATGTTGCTTTAATTGCCATCTTCTGTACTCCTGAGCTGTGTTCTTTTATTGTCCTTTCTCATTCTCTTCCACTCCGAGTAACCCATTGTACTTTAGTGGCATTATTACCTTGCTTGAGGTAAAATGATTTAAAAATAAAAATCTAATTAACAATATTGATAACTTGTTTGGGGACTGTCAGTTTTTATTATGCAAACTAAATTATTTATAAATAAAATCAAAGAAATAAACTATAAAAACATATTTGATTAACACAATATCCTGTATGGTTGAATAAATTACTATTTTATGTTAACGAGGTTCCTTGACATTCTTGAACCTGCACCATTCATTCATTATCTTTTTTCTTTTTTTTTAATTTTCTACTGTTTTTAACATTACTTGCAGTAATTTTTATTTCTTACCAGTAAAGTGTAATAAGTTTACTGTATTCAGTAATTTTTATTAATATTATCTCCCTGACCAGAAATCTCTTACCAAATTGTAGTTTATTTGTTTGAAAGATTCTTTTCATCTCTCTGAAACAAGTTCAGCAATTCCTTTTTGTATCACCAACCAATCAAATTTACTCATTCTTTTTGTTTGGGGAAACCTTACTATTTCATCTGATTTTCACCCAAGTACCTTAATACCAGGTAACAATCTGATCCTGTCATATAGATTTTTAAGATTTCTCTTAATTAGGCCACATACAACAATTGACTGACCAAATTAACTTGACACAGACTATAACTGGAATTACTCTGTACAAGAGATTTGACTTGGAAACTCAGACTAGTCAAATTTCTAAATTTATTTATTGTTTACATTATTTACAGTGTTACCCTTATTTATTATGTATAGACATTTTATTCAGTTATTTTACTATGAATACATTTGTTAAAAATACAGAAGCAATGGTATTTTGTCACACTCCACCTGGGCAATATCTTAAGTCTTAATTTCTTATTAAATATCTTTGGATGGCATATACTAAGTATAGTAAGTTTGTTTATAATTATTTCAAGTGTAAACTCTTTCATATTTAGAACATATTAATACTAATAACTGCATAATTTTATGTATCTTAATTTTATATTGTTTCTATATAATTTCTCCTTTCTTAAATAAAGCTTATTATTTTGAAAATTTAATCAGATTTGGATCTGAGCTCACTTTAGGTTTCCTGTACATTCATTTGCATTCAAAAAAAACTTAATAATAAGGATTCAACCAATCAAAAGGCAGGCAGTGTATAAATGTCAAAATGTCTTCCTATATACTCATTTTCTCTTCAGTATTGAAAGTGTGATTCCTGAAATTCAAAAACTATCAAAAGGTATTTTAAAACCTAACTAGCCTTTAATGACTTAGATTTATCATGATTGTTGATGGAATTTATTTTCTGGATTTTATCCATGAATTAATGACAAACCAGAAGACAAGAGCATTGAGAAAAAAAACCTGAAGTAATTCATTATGAATGTCATTTCTTAATGTTCACAAAATAGGAATGTGATACACGAGCTTCTTAGTGCAGATAGGGAGGGTGACCATGAATGCTGAGCTTGTATTTAAATAATAGATCACATGATTTGGCCACATTAGCAATACAGAGTTGTTACAGAAGTGTGCCAATTTGAAGGAAACTTAGGACTGGAATTTTGATTGACAAGGAGTGAGAATTGGTTAAGTTTGCAGAATTGGTAAATGAATGTGATGAAATAAATGGGATTTTTTTTTAATCATTTCACCCCAAGCAAGGTAATAAATCCACTAAAATGCAAAGAGTTACTGAGTTAGAAAATATGAGAAAAAAACACATTATTAAACAGAAAGAACAATAAAAGAACAAGAATTAAGAAGACAGAAGATAACAATTAACATTGCATTTAAATTTTTGAAGATCAATGTTGACTGGAAAGTTGGAAGAGTTCCACAAGCAAGAAGTGTGATAGAAGAAACTGTTAGCATAAAACTTACGGTTACACCTAGCAGCCATTTCGACTGTAAAATGATGAGACGTTGCTGCCAATCCAGTACTGCACTTTAATTCATAAAGTCTAGGCACCATAGAGGAAAGTTCATCAGAACAATTTCCATGAAAGTATTTATAGAAAAGACAGTGTATCTATGTTATGGCAGTGGGAAAGTGACTGAAGCAAAGATGCTAGGTCAGGACCAATAAAATTGCTGATTCTTCTTTGGATTTGATCAAGAATCTTTAAATATATAGCAGGAGCACTAAGTCATATGTAGCAGCAATATTCAAAGCAAGGAAATTTTTATGAAAATTGGATTCAAAGAAAGCAAGCATTTCTATAAACCTAGTCAGCTAAAAAGGGAAACTGACAGATAAAAAGGATAATCCTGTAGAGCAATAAGAGAAGACATTGCAAGAAAGTGCTGAAAAGTTCTCAGCCTGACCCACTTTTCAATATCCTGACAAACCTCAAATTTTAAATCAAAAATTTTCAGTATATGGTTCTTTCATAGTAAAGCCAAAAATTTTCATTGCCCCCTCCCCTACAATGCAATAAAGTCATACTTATAATAAAAATTATCTTTATAACAATTTTTACATTTTTTATCACATATCCTATTTGGTTCTTTTACCTTTTGTTTTTTAATATTTTTTCTTTTCTCATTTTTGTTACCACTTTTAATTTTAGTAAATATCATGTTTTGCATCCTTTTTCATTGTAGGCCTATCAGCTGGCTTCATCGATATTGGCACCACGTGGATGTCTGACCTGAAGGAAGGCATTTGTCTTGATGCCTTTTGGTTAAACAGAGAACAGTGCTGCTGGTTAGCCAATGATACAACATTTGATGAAGCAGCTAACTGCTCACAGGTAACAGAAATAAACAGTACTTGAAAGAGAACTGTTAATAAAAAAAAGTTATAGACTTTCATTGTGTAACCGTCAAAATATTCCAGTGTATTTTAAATATATTTCTTTATGCTAAATCACAAAAGTTGAAGAATATTGAAAAATTTATAGTTGAACATTTACAGATGAAGTGTGTAAAACAAAGGGCGGTAACTCCGTAAAAGGAACAAGAATTAATTTCCCTGAAAATACATTGCAGACACCATTTTTTTTTTCTTTTAAATAATGATTTTTCTATTAATAAAAACGTGACAGATAAAAAATAAAAAATAAAAAAAAATCCTCAAATAACAAAATTTTTGTCCTGTTCGTTTCAAATTTATATATTTTTTCAAGATGGTATGTAAACATGGCAATGATGTGACGTTTTGTAAACTATTGTTAGTGAGTAAATTCCTCACTAAGACCTTGCACTTTTTTTAGTCAGAAATTATGCTTAGTAAATAGCTCTTTCATGTATATATGTTAATATACATAAACTTCATATAAATATTTCATATTTTTTGACTTTTAATAAGTTCTTTTCTTTTTGTTTAAAATTTGATTATGTAAATAAGAACTGTCTTATGAATTCAACGAAAGATTAATATTTAAAAAAAACAAAAACTAGTGTTTTTACCTTGTTCTTTGAGTTCCTGATGAAAATTTCATTTAGCTTTATACCAGATTAGTTAAGTAAATACTTAAGTATCCTCCAATTACAATGAAGAATTCTCAATTTGTTCCTTGAATCAGTATGTAAGCTATATAACAAAATAGACTGTTGGGATAATATCATTCTGTTTAAAATGTCTCCTGAAACACAGCTGTCTCTTTTTCTTACTTTATACACTTTTATAGAACATTATCTTCTGTCTTCTTAATTCATTTTCTTTTATTGTTCTCTCTCTGTAATATTTTTCTTTATCTTATACCCTTTCACACTCAGTAACCCCTTGAATCTTATTGGCTTTATTGCCTTGTTTGGGGCGAAATGATGTAAAAATAATCATAACTTTCTGAACTTCTAAGATGAAGAGTTAATTACATGCAGACTATTATCCTCATTTTTGTTATTACGTTTTGGTTGTTGTACCTTACAAATGGCTGTAAGGTACAACAGTAGTTTTCAGTTATTGCTCACCATTGAGTCTAAGTCTCTATTGCTTGTCCCAGGAATTGAAGTTAGAATTACTATGCCACCAAATTCATAAACCAGTGCTAGACCAATATATCCCAGCAATTGCATAAATCTTGTGTGTCTGTGTCTCGGGTTTTAAAAAGGTTAAAGAATAAAAGCCATATTTCACTAACCATGTATTTCTTCTTGGAAATCTCAGCCTGTGAAGGTCCTTTGTTGGACATAGGCCTTTCCTAGATTCATGGGAAGGAATGACCTGTTACTCTACCATGCTGACCCAATGCATGTTTGTAGGGAGCAGGTGTGACATACTTGGGCAATCATTTTTCCTTTTTGTTCATGATCCCCCAAGAGTAATTTTTTTTTAAATTACATTTAATTAAAAAAAAAACAGTAAATTTCTGTTGTTCCTATTAGGAATTAGTAAAAATAAAAGTAAATCTAATTTTCAATTTTAAATACAGTTGTAGGAATTTACTCTATTTCCTGTAATAATTGCCACAATGGATACATAGGAGAAACCTCAAGGAATTTAAATAAATGGTTATATGAACATGAAAGGGATCTTTTACAAAACAACATATTAAATGCATTAGTTGCTCATTATAATTGCTCACTGACCACAATTTTGATTTAAAAAAATACTACTCTGATTAAAAAAGAAAAGAATTTCCTCAGATGAAAATGTTTATTAAGTGCTTTAATCACTAGATCATCCACAGTAAATTTACATTCAGGTTCTTACAATGTTTTGCCATTCTCTTCAGTTATCACAATGTGGGATATTTAATAACAAAAGTGATGGAAACATAAAGAAAACAAATCTAAATGAAATCGCCTAGATTATATACTCAAAACATATTAAATTAAAAAAATATATATATATTTTTAAATTTAGAATTCTCAGCATGCCCCTTTCCTTTATGTGCATGTTACATCAACCTAAATATAAATTTACTCTGAAGTCCTAAAGGACAAAACACATCACACAAAAACTTTTTCCATTTTGTCCTATATCTTTCCTTGAAAATGAAAGTTGGAAGTGACTTCACATTGAGCTTAACAGCCACCATTCAATGACCTTTTAAGTCCATAACATTAATGACCTATTTTTATTTTTCTCTATTTTTCAGTGGTACACTTATTCCAAACTATTTGGAATCACAAACAGTCAGGGAGCCGGCTCCTACATAGTTGAATATATTCTTTATATAATTGTTGCATTGTTTATGGCAGGATTTGCAGCCATGTTAGTACGGGTGTTTGCACCTTATGCTTGTGGTTCTGGTATTCCTGAGGTAAGACATTTTTGGACTTTCTTTTGAAAAATTGTGTGCAATCTATATACTTGAAGGAAACATAATTGATTGGTTTCCAAATATTTCTGGTCAAATTTAACTTTGGAAATCTTATCTGATCGAAAAATATCTTGGAAATGCTTTGTTTTGAAATTCTATCAGAACAAATTAAGAGTGATAAAAAAAAAAAATAAATAAATGAAACCTAGGAAAAACTTTTAGCTCTTTCGCCATTGTTTTAAATTAAGGAAATAACAGAATAACTATTATAAAGAACAGAATGTTTTTTTGTCATTTATTTATTTGTCATTTATTCATTATTTTGGCACTTAATGTTCTTTTAATTTTCTTTGAAATTGAACCTTTTTTTTTTTTTTTTTTTTTTTGGCACACATTGATTTTACAAATAAAATGAAGATTGAAATTCTAAAAATAGAATTATAAAGTTACCCAGTTTGTACATTATTGAAAGGAAATTCATTGTTGACAGGTTTAGTTGATAATAAATGAATTGGCCATTATTTGCATTATTCAGACTATTGTCCTCATCTTGGTCGCCATATTTACTACAATGTTTTGGCCGATGTATGCACCAGCCTTCTTCAGGTGGCTGGAATGTTGAACTGAACCCTTTATTTCGCTCACTGAAGTAGACTGTTCTAGTTCTACATGCCATGTTTAATGGATGTCAGTTATCAGTTATCTCCTATTAATTTCCCTCTGAAAGTTCTCCACTGCCTTAACCAGGTATTGAACTCACACTCTTTGGGTCCTGTCACTGGATCTAACTAACGCCTTTGTCCACTGTGCCATGTGTCCTTGAGGACACATGGTACAGTGGATAAACAATACCTGGTTAAAGCGGTGGAGAACTTGGAGAGGGAATTAACAGGAGATAACTGACATCCATTAAACATGGCACGTGGAACTAGAACAGTCTACCCCAGTGAATAAAATAAAGGGTTCAGTTCGACATTCCAACCACCTGAAGAAGGCCGGTACATACATTGGCCAAAACGTTGTAATAGATATGGCGACAAAGATGAGGACAATAGTCCAAATAATGTACATAATACCTCATCTCAGAAATATAGACAAATGAATTGGCATCTGAAATCTCCATCCATTTGCCAAATATCAGCCTCATGAATTAGGTAATATGCCAAAAAGATGACTAAAAAAAATATCTTTTTTATTTTCATCTGAACTTCAGTAACTTTTAATTTGTAATAGATTTTCAGTTTTTAAAAAGATAATTTTCCTCACTGAAATTGTTTTGTCAACTTTAAAGAAACTCCAATTGTGTGAAAATTAGATGCAAGAAATATTTTCAATTCTATCTAATATTTTTAATACCAAATTGTTTTATAAATTATTCATATAATTAAGATATTCAGTTGTACAGGTGAAGGATTATCAAGATAATAAATTTAAAATATTGTTAACATGTTGAATTTCAGTTAAATATATCAGTGACTTTTTTTTAAAAAGTACTGCACTTTTTTCTCATTAAGTTGAAAGTAAATTCAATTTTTTCTCTCATTAAGTTATTTTTAGAAAAAATGTTTGACCCATAATAAAAGATTAAAGACAAATTCTTTCTTTCAAGGAAAGAAAAAGTTGCTAATGTAAAGAGTAACTGACAAAAAAAATCTTGTCATGTGTAATTCTGAGTGACTTTTATAATCTTTGAATTTTGTTTTGCAGATTAAAACCATTTTAAGTGGTTTCATCATCCGCGGTTATTTAGGCAAGTGGACATTGATGATCAAATCTGTGGGTATGATGCTGGGCGTCTCGGCTGGACTCAGCCTTGGAAAAGAAGGACCTTTTGTCCATGTAGCTTGTTGCTGTGGCAACATTTTTTCCTACTTGTTTCCTAAATATGGCAAAAATGAAGCCAAGAAAAGAGAAGTAAGTTGGAAAAATTTGTGTGTGTTTGTGGAATGATGGCCTATTTAAGGCAGCAAAATAGTCCCCATAATATATATATATATATAATATATATATATATATATATATATATATATATAGTTAAATTAAAAAACCTAATGGGTCTATAGATTATATTTTATTTCCTAAGGAATGGGATTTTTTTCCTGGTTCGTCAAATCACATTTCCAAACATAAAAGAAAATGGTTTAAAAATTTACATATTATTTTTATACAAGTTTTGAGGAATAGTTTTAAGTTGATGTAAGGTGATAGAGAGAGGGGGAGGAAGACAACAACTAATATAATCAAAATTAGAGAGGGAAGGGAATGATAGGAATATGTTTAAATATATTGTTTTTTAAGATACATAAGGGTGGTAGGGTAAGGTGCCAGTCATTTTGACCTATTTAACAAGTCCTTTCACAGGAAAAGGAATATATATATATATATATATATATATAGGTACAGAGATGGGTAAATCAAATAACTATATATTAGCAACTGTATATGTGTGCATACACAGGTAAGTAAATAAATATTTACTTTAAGGTGTAAGCATAACAGTGGTCAGTGTTGTTAGACAGAGCTAAGAAATATATATTTATATATATAAGATATTTTTGTAGCTACAAAATTTTATTGCAGAAATAAGTGTGAAGCTTAATATTACTAGACATATTAAAAACGGGCGAAGCAACTGGTTTCGCTCCCACTCTTCAGGCTTCAACGGGAGATTTAATTTAAATAAAAATCACAGAAAATGTACAATAAAAGGAATTGTGGAGGTAGGGAAAAAAAAAATATAAGCACAAGGCGCTAGAGACAAATGACAGCGAGCCCCAACAAACACTCGCGTTGTTTGCACAAAGAAGGCTTGCCAGACCCGATGTAAAGTGCCTCCAGCATCTTGAGGTGAAATAAAGAGTATGACCGGGACAACACAGTGAACCAGTTGACACTAAATTTGGCTGCACACACTCTGCTATTTAATAGGTGTTCGCATATGGCGGAACCATAGGTATTTGGGATGAGTCCATTCAACGGCAAGGTGTGATTCCTGATTTTTGTAGGCACGTGTTGTTTTATTCTCATGTCTAAGCGTTGAGTCGTTCTCCCTATGTAGTCAGCTTCGCAACTACGAACGTATTTATAAATAATTGAATTAATTTGATGCGGAGGGAGAATGTCTTTACATGCAGAACGAAGCATAGGCCGAGTTTGAAAAACTATACGAACCTCAGCAGAGAAAAAACAATGATGAACATTAGATGAAATTTGTTTAACTATACTTTCGCATTTGGTTCCAATCCAGGGCAATCTAAGATAAACTGGACACTTTTTGACAGTACAGAGCTTGATACTTATGAACTCCTCAATTTTGTTACAGATAACTGAATTAACAGTATCCGGAGGATAACCAAAACTACATAGGGTTTCCTTAACAAAATCGATTTCATCGTTCAAGAAGGACTCCAAACAGATCTTTAATGTCCTGTGTAGGAGGGTTTTAATAATGTTTATCTTACGTTTTGTTGGACAAAAGGAATCCCAACGCGTATACAACCCCCGCAAAAGTTGGTTTCCTATAAACAGAGGTAAGAAAACTAGTTGATGTTCAATGTACTAATACATCCAAGAAGGCCAATTGAAAATTGGATTCCTTCTCAACAGTGAACCTCAGTGCTGGATGGATACCATTTAGAGAAAGAAAGAAACTGATCAGCCTCAACTTCGCTGTTGAATAAACAAAAGGTATCATCAACATACTGACAATACAGTTGAGTGCATTCTTCCATATTTTTTCTTCGTGAAAGCCAACAAATATATTAGCAAGTGCCAGACCCAAAGGGAAACCCATAGCAACTCTGTCAATCTGTCAAAACATGGTGTTGTTAAAATTAAATTTGACAGAAGACATGGCAAATTTCATCAATTCAAAAAATACTGACTCATGAATATTCTGTGGAGATAATGAACTGTGATAAAGCAAATCACAGCAAATATTGATAGTTTCCATAAGAGGGACACAAGTGTATAGAGAACAGACATTGAAAGAGCACATGAACTTGCCAGAAGAAGACAAATTTTGTATACGGTCGACAAAGGAAAATGAATTCTTTATGCAAAATCCACTCAAGCCCTGCAACACAGGTTCCAAAAGCATTGAGAGCCATTGGGCTACCTTATGTTGGGCTGAGCCAATCATTGATAAAATTGGTCGTAATGGTACCCTATATATATATATATATATATATATATATATATATATATATATATATATATATAATTTAAATGTTATTTTTAGTGGATGCTTGTATTTGAGTAGACACTCTGTTTATTTATTAAATAGTATATTTATTTTCATCTACTGGCCTGAATATTTGAGAAATCTTATTAGAGAAAAAAAAAACATGTGCTCTCCTGAAGGATTTTTCTCTAAGATAATAAGGTTTCTCAAATATTCAAACTGGTGAAGGAAAATAAATAAATACACTAATAAACGGAGCATCTACTCAAATATGTGTGTCCACTAAAAATAACTTTTTAATAAAAATCTCAGGTTAATGAATAAAAAAAATCCCTCTCCTTCCTTTTTTATATATATATATATATATATATATATATATATATATATATATATATATATGTGATGCTAGAAATGCATCATTATGGTTACCTATTGATGGTTCCAAATCAATCCTGAAATTGGTCGGTATTAGTTGATCCTTCAGGCATATCCTTATATATTCCTGGTGTGATTCATACCTGGCTAATTTGTTGGTTGTTCTATTCATACGGATAGCCAATAATTCAGTGTTTATCGGTTCTGTTGGTGTTATGTCATTGGCTTTTGGTTCAGTCCCGTGTCTGTTATCCATGATTATATTTTGAACGACAAAAAATATTAAAAAATTAAAATCTTCAGACACACTGAGTTGTATATTAATATTTCTTCGTTTTTATTATTATTTCATTTAGATTCCTTGACTAGCTTCAGCCAACATGGCCATCATCAGGAGAAAAATAATTTTCTGCTTGCTGGTAGCAGTGAACTACAGAAATGTCTTGAATATGTTAAATATAGTCATTAATTATCAAATAGTAGATTAATTGAAATGTTTCAACATATTGATAAGTGTGAGAGGTTGCCTGATTTGCATATAAAAAGAGATGACTAATATAAATGGTTTATATGAAGTAGTAAGAGTTAGTATTTTAGGTCATGTTAGTGACTCTCCTAAGCAACTTGGTAATACCAATGAATATACTTTAATGCTTCACAACAATTAATAAAAATAGTCTAAACAGAATATCCTTTTGCATAACTTTTCAGATTCTCTCTGCTGCTGCCGCTGCTGGTGTGAGTGTAGCTTTTGGAGCACCTGTTGGTGGCGTCCTCTTCAGCTTAGAAGAGGTAAGTCATTACTTTGAAATGTTTAGTTCATTTATAGAGAAATATCATTCCTCAATTAAAACAGAGACTATGCTGGGGAAATGGTGTTTAATATACAGGGTGGTCCAAAAGTCTTGTCAGTTAGTTTAAATTTAATTTAAATCAAAGAAAAATAATTTCAATTGGGGTGGGGGTGTAAAAATGGCTTGATCTGATGCCTTTGATATGTATTTGATGCAAAACTTGATTGAACGAATTGATGAGCAGAATTCAACATTGATATTACAATTGAATTGTTGCAACAAATATGTACTGTAAGACACTACCCACTGATTGGTGATTTCTTGCTCAACTTGACATCTATATTGTCTCATTTTGATCTTGCTGATGTGACCTTCATCTTCTGGTTTTCTCCTCCTATATTTTGAATAGGAGTCATTCCTTTGTTCAGATTTAAATTTAATTTAAATCAAAGAGAAAAAAAGTTTCAGTGGGGGGGTTGTGCCCCCAGGGGACCCCCTTTGATCAAAATGAAATGTACTTATCCAAGTATCCTGTGTAATGTAGTTTCAGAATATATATATAGTTATGGGTGTCTATCTCCAAAACCCTAGGAGGAATTTGGTAACAGACAGACTACAACTTATCTATGTACGTATAGTGTATTTAGGCAACAAATTCTCTTTTAGGCATATCTGATTAAATAAATTACAAACATTATGTCTGCTTATTTTTAGCATAATCCTTTTATATTCACAAATATTTTTCCGTGTATTACAATCAAATGATGCAAGAAATGCACTGTAACAGTGAAAATCACTTTTATTTTCCAAGTATTTACTATCTCTTTCTGAGATCATCATTAGAGGTGCAACTAGTAAGAGGAAAAAACTATGTGTAGCTATCTATTACTGAATTTTTTCTTTTCGCATTTAAATGCAACAGCTGACAGTTATGCTTTAGTGTTCATTAGAATGTGAAAAAATTATCCACTATGGAATTTTTTCTTTTATGTTGGAATGTCATGGTCAAGTGCACATTAAAGCGTAAAAACTGTTCTTTTTTTATAGGCATTTTAGAACATTATTACAATATTTGTAACTGATTCTATTTAGTGTCAGCTTTATTTTTTTAATGTGGATTGCTTCGAGTATCTGTAGTTATGTTATCAATCAGTATTGTCCTATACTGTCTATGTGGACAGGAATGTTGATGTAAATGTCTCGCAAAAAGAAAAAATTCCATAGTGGATCATTTTTTTCACATTTTTAAGTTAATTTAAACAAAAAAGGGGTAAACTATTCCTATAAGACATCTTTGTAAAGTTTCTCTGTAATTTTTATTTCAGTTTTTAATGACATCTTCTTTTAATGTGCCATGTCCTTTCAGGACATAGGCAATCATGGTCCCCCCCCCACTTCCACCTATCTCTTATGGCTCTCAACAGGTTTTATGTTTCTGCCAATTCCTCCAGACCACTCTCCACCATCCCCCTTCCCAAGTTTGCTATGTATGTCATGCACTGCTTTCCCCTGTCTATTTTTCCCTCTATTCATCCTGTGAGTATCAGATTCTCCAGGCCCTCCTTCCATACAACCAAAAATTAAATATATGTATTAATTGCACTTTACACATCTTGTTAAATGTTTTTTCTTTCTTTTTTTTCTATTTCTTCAAACAGTTGAGTTACTATTTCCCTCTGAAGACAATGTGGCGTTCATTCTTCTGTGCTTTGGCAGCTGCATTTGTTTTGCGTTCAATGAATCCCTTTGGAAATGACCATTTGGTCATGTTTTATATTGACTATAATGAACCCTGGTACCTACAAGAGTTGGCAGCATTCATTTTGATTGGTGCCTTAGGAGTAAGTAAAAACTTCTTTTTAATCTGGAAACAAATTATATATAAATCTATTTGAGTAGATTCTTGTTTCCTGGATATCCTAACTTTTCTTATACTGTATGCACGCAAATATATTTGCACCAAAAACTAAGTGGGTTGGGGTGCACTATACATAGGTAAATTTTTTTTGCAGAGGTTAAAAATCATGCACTTTCAATGACCAGTTGTACTATACAAAGGTAATTTTTAAAATTCATGCAAAACCTTTAGAGGTCTCACTATACATGAAATTGGCTTATACACAAGTATATACAGTATTTAACTTGGTTGCAAAATTTTTATCTTGTCCTATAAAACTGTTTATTTCTCTGGATAAAAAAAAATCAGCTAACCTAGTTTAGAAAAATATAAATTTCACATTTCAGCATATTTGTTGTCTCAAAGTGGTATGATTCTTTTTATATATTGTTGCTTGGCACATTAAGAGTGTAGAAATCCATATGATGAATGGTATAATAGACATGATTCTTGGGCAGAAGCCTTCCTGAATTTCCCCACCTGATTTATCTCCTGTAACATCGGTCAGTTTCAATTTCCTTAATCAGTTACAATCTTCCAACAATTCATATACCATAGAATCCCTGAAAACTGAACTAAAAAGGCCTTCCGGATATGAGGAATTGGTTACAAAGTTCGGATATGAGGAGTTATATATTTAGATTAAAATAAAAGAACTGAAATCAGGTTTAGCATTTATTTTCAATGTTTTATAGTAAACAAAATAAGCTAATGGTGAGTGAAATATAACGAAATTGATTTTAAGGAAAAAGAAATAAATTATGTAATGTTAATGAAAATTCATTAAATTAAGTATGCCACGTATGCAAAACAAATAATGTAACGAGTATTTTTTTAATCGTTGTTGCATGACGATTCTTTCTCTTCTAATGTCATTCTCAACTTTTTCCACATTTTGTTTTGTTCTTGAAATTTTTTAAACAAAAGACACTTTAACTCTGCATGTGTTATTGCAATATTCATAGCTGAATGTTGGCTTTCTTTCCATAAAACTGACAACCTTTTCAATAGCTTTTCCATTTTAGTCCAAGTTTCATCCCAATCATGCATCTCATTGCTATCTTGTTGCAGATGTGTCTCATTGTCATCCTTTCCTCTTATTCCTGTCATCTTTTGCACCAATACAAGCATAATGGTTGATGGGTCGTTAAACCTAAACCAAACCAATACAAGCCATCAGGGTGAAATAAGCAATTACCCAAAGTAAATTTGCTGAAAAACATAAATTTCAAATCAGTTACATACCGCCCAAATAGTTCAAATATACACATCAAAATCATGTCGGATATGTGGGATTATGGATATGAGGTATTCTACTGTATTATGAAGCACTTTATATTTATTCAAGTCACACTTTAAAATATTTCTTTCTTTTTCCGTTTTGGACACATTGTAATTTTTATTTCTTTGACTGTTTACTATAGTGTTTGTGTTTCCTCATTTTTTTTTCAGGGCCTCTATGGAACCTTCTTCAAAAAACTCAATATCATGTGGTGTAGGTACAGGAAAACTTCCAATCTTGGCAAATATCCTATTGTTGAGGTAAGACTTATTTCATATATTATCAAAGTTTATAGGTATGTGATTTTGCATATAAATCATAATAATTAGTATGTTTAAAGAGAGAGTGCATTTTATAATCTAGTAGAAAATTTGATTTGTGTCAGATTTAGTCCTGCTACTGATAACATGTAACACAGTCCAACCTGGCACATGGATGGGTGATTAGCACCTAAACCAACTCTCCAACTAGCTTTTCTGCTGGGTGAGGTGGATGTACTGCCACCCTGCCAGATGAAAAACAACACCCTGTCAAAAGCTGGATATAGTTTATAGGAGCGAATGACCAACACACACATATATATATATATATATATATATATATATAGGATGTGTCTAAAGCCTTGAATGGCAATCTTCCTAGAGATGATGTCTTGATAAAACAGTCAGTGTACTTAGACTACTGTTGGGTCTGAGTTGGGCAACAGGAAGAGATTCTGGCCTTGTAAAATCTTGCCTAAAATAATTGACAAGAAATCCCTTGTCAGGCAGGACCCACCTTGCTCTGTGCAAGATTAATCCCAGTCCTGCCTCAACAAAAAAAAAAATATATATATATATATATTGCTAGTTGACAATAGAAGTGAATTTTCTGTTTCAGAAGGAAGACAGAAAGAAAGGGAGACTTTATATTGCCAGATTTTTCTTAACTGTTACAAAAACATCAATGAGCATTGTCAAAATATCTACTTTGATTTCTGTATAGAATTTCATCCAGATATGACCCAATAATTTCAGTGGTTTTAGAGATACAAATAAAAAATAACCTTCTTTCTGTCTCTTTCATAAATAAGTCATAATAATAATGTTCAACAATAAAAAGAAATGATAGATTAGGCAAAACAAAATTACTAGCAAACTGTACTACCTTCTTACTTTAAAAGAAAATAACTATTAAGCAAGATATTGTGGAAATAAATCTTGATACATCAGTTCTTTTAAAATCCTAGTTTTTTGGGTTTTTTTTAAGGAAGTTTAAAGCAAAATTCCAAGTTCCTCTTATTGAAAAGAATAAAAGCTTAAATGTAAAATTTTAAGAAAAATTATTTAGTTGTATAAATTCAGAACCAAGATTTTTTTTTTTTTTTTTTTTCTATTCTAAAAATTTTGAGATTATTTTTCCTGACAATTTTTCTTATTTACTTTTCAGGTCCTTGTTATTACTTTCATTACAGCTCTTCTCAGTTTTCCAAATCAGTATACCAGGTAAAAAATTAAGAATTTAGTGTTTTTTAAGTTACACTTTGTTAAAAAAAAAAAAAAACAAGAAGTTGATTAAATACATTATCAACTATTTTCATCAAGATGAATGCATTTAACTATTATATAACCAGTACAAATGGTACAAAAAGCATAATTTATTAAAAAGCAAATGAAATATTATTAATAAAAAATATTCAGTTAATTTGCAGTATATGCACCAAAAGCCCCCGGTAATGAGAATGTACCATTCTGGTATTAAATTGTCTGATTATTTTGAAAATGACATTAAGCACTCAGTTACCATTTAGAAGTTATGGACAATGTAAGTTTGACTTCTTTCTCATCACATAGACAAAATGACCTCTATTACTGGCTTTGTTTACATACGTTTGCCTTGAGTAGTCATGCAACGAAGAAGCTTCACTTGTATCAATTATGGCAAAATGCATGAAGTTTAAAATGAATGCACAAAATTTTAAAAGTAAGCCAACAGAAAACGTCACAATTCCAAATATATTAGTAAAAATAAAAAAAACGAAAAATAAAATCAAAATTACATGCCTGAAAGGATAAAAACCTGAAGTTCTCCTTTTTCTTCAATGAGGTTTGTTTTTTTTTTTTTTTAATTTTACAAGAAAAGCTTTCAATTGTTTCTGTAACAAATTTAAACCAATTTAATAAAAAAAAAAAAAGGAAAGAAAAAAAACATTCATTTAAAACTTCATTTTTATAAATAAAAAACCTCATTTTAAAATAAATTCCATGAAAATTGTGCAGTAATCAAGATGAGTAAGAAGACACAAAAAAAGCAGTAAAAAGGCCATTAACTAAGTAAGCTTCTACTCATTACTACTCGAGTCAAATGTATGTAAACAGTGCCAGTAATGGTGGCCGGACAATGTGAAAGAGATCAGACTTACATTGATGATAAATTCTAAATGGTAATCGAACACAATGTTTTAATGTCATTTTTTTAAATAATCAGTCAATTTCACACCACCAGGAGCTTTTGGTGCTTATACTGCAAATTAACCAAATATTCTATTAAAAAATTGAAAAATAAATGTTCATGTAGTTAAATCTTTATTAAAATGTCGGAGATGTCTTAACACTTGATCAAAGGGCAGTTTTAATGTCAAAAGAAATGATTAATGAAGATGACACTCTAACAAAAATACTTATTGATTTTTATGTAATGTAATAATAAAAATACCAAAGTTTTTACTTAATCTTTTTTATCTGGTAAAGATAAGTGTTTAAATTTATCATATAGCAAAAAAAAAAAAAAAAAAATTGAAATTTCTGTTACAGAACATTTTATATAACCTCTTTGAATATTTTTTTTTCTATTTTTTTTTTATTCAATTTTTAACTTTTTATTTTACAGAATGAATTCCAGCGAATTAATCCGTCTTCTTGTTAATCGTTGTGGTCCAGAAGATTACCGAGAATTGTGGTATGTTGTTTATAATTTTTATCTATATTTCAGGCAGGTTATAAGCACTTGTAGTAATAAGAAGAAAAAAGCTTTTTGCACGTTTTCTTTTTTTTTAATTTATCTTGGAAATTTAACCTGCCTTTACTACAACAAATCCCATGCTTATTTTGGAAATAATTCCGGTCTTCATTTATCTCCATGAAGTTACATTTCTTTACATATTAAAGCCCAGAATAGGTATGATAAATGAGAATACCAACTAAAGAAAAACACTCATACAGGTACACAGTTTTTTGGTACCTCTTTTAATCTGGACAAAATTATAAGCAAGCATTTTAATTTCATATGACTGCCAAACTAATTCACAAGGCAGCCATATGTGGCATTGTGTGTGCTTAATATAAGTTTCTAACAGTTGATGATGCTGTAGAGATATCAGATGTATAATTAGTGGGTTAGGGTTAGAGGTGTATTATTTAAATTATTGTTTTGCTGCTGCTTTTGTTCAAGCAAATGAAATAATCCAACATAGTTCTGGAACCAAGTGTGCTGGAAAATCATATATAAAATTGTATTATTCTTTATTAATAATACCTCATAATATTGCACATATATAAATACATACATACAACTATCTACACTTTAAATCTTCCCACTCTAAACACCTCAAAGAGAACCTTCCCTATTCACAAGCACTTAGACTCAGAAGGATATGTTCCAACAATGAAGAACTAAATAAACACATTCAAAATCTAGAGCATCAATTCACAACATGTGGCTATAAACAACACCTAATCAGGGAACAAATAAATAAAGCAATTTCCACACCTAGAGAAGACACCCTAATGTACAAGATTAAAAATAAACCCAACCACATCCCTCTAGTAACCACTTTCAACCCCACTCTGCCTCCACTATCCCAAATAAACAAAAGTTGCTGGGAAATACTACATCTCAAACCAGACCTAAAAAAATTGTTTGAGGAACCCAGCCTTCTAGCATATCGTAGACCTAAGAACCTAAAAGAAATCATAGGTAGTAACCACATTTCAGGGGACAAGGTAATCCATAATAAACCACCAACAAAAACAACAGGATTTTCCCAACCATGTAACAACAAAAGAAACTTATGCTGCAACCACATTAAACACATGAATTCATTCACTAGCTCAGCCACTAAATCTGCTTTCAAAATCTACCACAACTCTAACTGTAGAAGTCATAACATAATTTACCTCCTAGAATGCACACTATGCCAGAAACAATATGTAGGAAAATCTGAATGGCCCTTTCACTACAGAATTAATAATTATCGCAATCGAATTAAGTTGACTCCCCATAAAAGATTATTACCTGTAGAACAACATTTCCACCTAGAAAAACACGATTTTAAAACCCATGCCAAATTCACTATAATTGAGAGAATAGAAAAGTCCAGAGCAGATAACATTAGAAACATTTTAGAATTCCATGAAGATAAGTGGATACAACATCTAAAAATGCAATATCCAGCCGGGCTTAACCATAAATTTAACAATATAGATAGTATTAATATATAACCCTACAAATCAAAACCTACTCACATTTCTCACCCACACAAGACACATATGCTTACCAAGATGTTGAGCACTCACACTTATACACACACCCACACAAATATACACACATCATACTCACTTACACTCATCATACTCACTCACTCCCTAAGAACCAAATAAAACACACACTTAAGAGGCACATCCCCTTTCCAGGAACCAATAAAATTGTCAAAATGACCAAGGGAATTCAGAGCAGCATGAATCCATCTTATCTTAAATAACAACCTGAGCAACACAAGGACTGACCAAAATTTTCATTAAAAAAAATAAAAAACAAATGAAAAGTACAGACAAAAGTTCATTTTCTCCATCAAGACATTCATTTCTGTAGTTCACTGCTACCAGCAAGCAGAAAATTATTTTTCTTCTGATGATGGCCATGTTGGCCGAAACAAGTTGAGGAACCTAAATGAAATAATAATAAAAACGAAGGAATATTAATATACAACCCAGTGTGTCTGAAGATTTTAATTTTTTAATATTTTTTATTGTTCAAAATTATATATATATATAAGAAATATACTCTTAAGGTGTGCTATATTTATGGGATAAAGTGCTCAATATCAGAGATAGTGTGTGTAAATATAAAAGTGAACATTGAAGTCAAAACTTAAGGTGACAGGCTGTTTCATGCTAGACGCAATCATCAGGCCACATATATATATTGTTGTGAAAGCAGAAATGGGTAAACTGGAAAACAGAACCTTGTTGTTACTGTTGTGGAGTTTAATTCCTTCTCTGCCTCGTCAAATGTAAATCCAATTGTCAAACAAAAGAGGTCATTGTGTATGGGAAAATGTAATTTATTTACATATATACAAAACTAGTAACTTCTATCTGTTGCTAAGGCAACAAGGAGAGGGAGTGGTGAAATTAGAAGAGAAATGGATATTAGTGGTGACTGTCATCATTGGTGGCATTTCTTTCTCAGCATGTCAGTGTTGACATCAAATGCTGGTCTATTTCTCCTCTGTTTGAATTTGAGTATATATATCTGTCACTTGGCTTGAAACTAAGGTTTTGGCTTTTGAGTGGGAGTGGCTCTGACTGGTCATTTATTATTTAAAGTTTAAATAGTTTACATTCTAACTTGAGATTCCATAGAAATATCCATTTGTAAATTTAATATTTTAATCATGACTTTTGACATAATAAAATCAGAGTTCAAAATTTTAATTTGATCTTTGTAAAGATGTATGATTGAATTTCAATATGATTTTTATTTTAAGAGAGGCATTTTTCATTTCTTATTTTTACTATTAATGAATATTTTATTACTTTTAGGAAGAGAAGAAAAGTATTCCATTTTATAGTTAAGAGGAAATATTTTGACTGAAGACAAAAATAATTATTTATCCACATTTTAAGATCGAATAAACAATCATATGATCCAAGTTTGCTTTTCCAATTTTATTTAAAAATGAATTATATTAGATAAATTTTCCACAAAGAAAAAAAATGTCCATGTTATAATTGCCAATAATTCAGAATTTTTCTTGCCTTTTTTTTTTTTTTTTTTTTTAACAGTGATTACAATCGTAGTATTACCAATGTGAATGTCTATGGTGGAAGTGCCGTCGCTGGGGATGGTGTCATCCGTGCAGTGTGGCAGTTAGTTTTAGCGTTTCTTTTTAAAGGAATTATTACTGTCTTTACATTCGGTTTGAAGGTAAGAAACAATATTTTTATCTTTGAAACTATTGAAGGATACTTTTCTGTAGATTCTAAGAAATTTTCTTTTTTTCTTTTTTTTTTTCTTACATTAAGCATTCATATGAGAGTTATTCAAGTTCCACTGTTACCTATATTTAATTAAGGCTTATGACGACATTATGTTGAAACACTGGTTCTCCTATAATCACCAGCACTAAGCAATATCGAGCCTGGTTAGTACCTAGATGGGTGACTGCTTGGGAATACCAGGTGCTGTAAGTTTGAATGTGCGGCTGGTGAAATGGATAATGACTTGGAATTGTTAATCAAAGAGCTCAGTTCCAATTCCCATTGGGTTTGTTATATTCACTTACATGCAAATATCCTTGGGAAAAGTATGACTCCATCTCTTTTTCCCTCCAACTAGTAATTAGTAAGATGTGTATCACTAAAACCATTATTATCTCCAAAAGATTTCTTACAATTTAAAATATTTTCTGGCTTTGAATTGCCTGCAGGGGGTTGATGAGCTGTAGAAAACAAATTATTCAATAATTTATTTAATATATACAATTTTTATACATACATAGGAATTCCAAAAATCTTCATTTAAAACACGTGACTTTATATATTTATTGGTTGCCCAACCTGATTTAACTATTTAATGAGATATTTCATTGTTATGGTAATACAAGGCATTACTCAATACCATAAACTTCATTACCATAACAACAGAATATCTCATGGCAAATAACCCAATTTGCTAACATATTGCTTTTTATATCTTTTGTTTTGTTAGCTTTTGGGGAGGGGGATATTTTTATTTGATTCAAAAAGCAAAATTCTTTCTTTATGATCATCTCATCAGAGCAGAAAGTTTTAGTCAACAGAAGTAAATATTTATTTTTATTTTTTTTTTATTATTACATTAAATGCAACTTTGTAAAATCCCCAAATCTCATCATTCATCTGGTGACAAAAAAAAAGAAGGAATTGTTCACTAGCAAATTGAATGATACTTAGGTCAATATTCAGAAAATATTGAACAGAAAATGAAAGCGTTTTTTGATATTTTGTAAGTATATTAAAATTGGAAAAGTAATGAAATATTAAATTTTCATTTTATATATGTGATAAAAATATAGTTTTAAAGTATGCTATATTTAGGAGTTAAAGTGCTTGATATCTGGAATATAGCTTATGTAAATATAAAAGTGGTCATTGAGGTTAACCCTTAATATTATATATATATATATCACACACACCGTAGCACAACTGAGTTTCATGAACAATGCAATCTTCTGGTGCTAAGTCTGACCTCTACACAATTTCTATTTTGTTAAATATATTTGGCTATTGCAATGATGAGTTAGTCCTTATTTTATACAGGGGTGTTGTTTTTTGTGTTTTTGTTTTTCTTTTGTCTTTTTTTTTTTAATTTTGTATTTAAAATAAATGTAACTTTTTAAAAAATTCTGAATTTTATATGTAAAAATAAACAGAAAAGATAAAAACATACATGCATTGACACAAATTATTTACTTCAAGTTATAACGGTAGAGATAAAATATTAATATAAATATTCACATTTAAATATTCATAAAAAAATTTTAAAATACATATAATAAAGTTATTCACCAATAACATGGTACATTTACATATGTAAATATATATATAAGAAGGCATGGTGAAGTAGTGGATAGCTGCTTGTATTGAGGAATCTGAGAGCCAAGTTTGAATTCCAGTCAAATGCTAATGCCCTTGGGAAAGGTATTAATCTTCTTCTCCCTCCAGTTATGGATAAATAGCAGGATAGACAGGATTCTAGAGCCTTGGATGGCAACTGATCTAAGAGAAGGACAACTCTGAATTCAAACTCATGGAGGGTCGTTTTGGGACCTTGTGGCATGAGTGCACCAGGTCTCAGTATTCGCCCTTCAAAAGTGTGGATGGTTTTGGCAAAAAACCTTCACCACTATAATCAAATCATAGGTGATGGTGTCTGAGCTGTCAATTCCTATGAACTGAGCTGCTTGACCCTCATACATTGGATACAATGGGAGAGTCCACCATATATATATATATATATATATATATATATATATATATATATAGTTTTAGAGTAAAGAGTACACACTTTGTGGCTCTATGAACTTGTCCAATACTATAAAGAGTTCCGTTATATAGGAGTAGTCATATTGGAGTCAATCTTCATCCAAACAATACAGGTGTTATGGCAATAGCCTAAGCATTACGTATAGAGATACTTTAATGAATTATGTACAAGTGTGTGTTGTAACAATAATCTTACAATAGTAATGTTTTATATATATATATATATATATATATATGGTGTGATGGATGGATAAATTGTCATCTAAATTATACAAAAATGAAAATAACACTGACATTTCATTTTAACAGATATATTTACCAAAATTATACAAATATCTCAAAATACTAAATTGTTAATTTTTTTCAATAAAATCACCATTGGCTTCAATCACAGGCTCCAGACAATTTTTGAATCTCCAACAACTCTTCTGGACTGTCTCCTTGTTTAAGATGGTGAATGCTGCCATAATCTTTGCCTTCAGTTCATCTTTGGTGTCACAAGGAGTTTTGTTGATCTCCCACTCAACTGTGCCCTACACATGATAATCAAGGGTGTTGCAGTCTGAGTAGTTAAGTGGCCAGATGTAAGGCATGATGTGGTTACACAAATTGTCTCACAGGGTTCTCCTACTTGTGTGGCATGGTGCAGAGTCCTGTTGTCAGACATAAGTTCTTCCAACAGCCACCCTCTTGACCCAAGACAGCACTACTTCCTCAAGGTACTTGATGTAGACCACTGTGTTAAGTCTGAGGCCCTTTAGGAAGATGAATTGGGGCATAACATTGCCATCACTAGTGTCACTTCAAACACCTTCATAATCACCATTAGACTCCTCAAACTCTTTTTGAATCCTATGCACTGTCCTCAGATTGACAGCCAAACACTCTGAAATGTTCATATTGGAGCTTCCAACACGAATGCCAAGCAGTACAGCATGCCATTTCCAAATTTCTGGTGGAGTGAATTGCATCATGGTGCTCTTTTTCTCACAGACAGCACCCAACTATACTGTGCAGCCAACGAAAAAGCAAAAAACATAGATGTGCAAAATTAAAAATATAAAATAACAAAAATTTACCTATTTCACCCTGTGTGTTTGTATACACACACACACACACACACACACACACAAACAGGAGGGATCTCCAAAACGTGTATACACACTTTTACAGTCAACTTCTTTTCAGATTTACACATTCAGGCTTAGCTTTAAACAATGTTTATCCTGAAATAATACTTCAAAGACAATATTGAAGAGTTTCATTCAGATCCACCCACGCGGCTTACAATCTCATGAATTAGAGATAAATTTGAAGCTGATACACACGATGTGCACAACAACCATTCCAGAAGACCATGGATATCAACCATGCCCTGTGAAGCAAGAATGGCTGATGGAAAGTTTTCATAGAAGTTCAAGAAACCTATCAAAATTCTGATTGTTGCTTGTGATTTCATTACATTGTGTTGTCAGCAATGTCTGGATCAAATAGGCATCAATTTAAAAACATGACAACAAAATCTCAAGAACATCCAAAATACTGTTCTTGTTTTAGGTAAATGAGTGCTATGCTGATTTCTCCACTGATTTAGGATTTAATTTACACATTTCCACTTTGGTAAAAAAAAAAAAAAAAAAAAAAAAATGACAGTTTTGTTTGTATACTAAACTTTTAGCAATTTCCAATGCAAATATTTTTAAAAATTGTCTGGACAGATAATGATATTAAATAAATTCTATATATTTTGTTTATTATAAACACACATAAAACAATTTTAATTATTTTTTTTTTTCTTGTGCCACATAGTTTTTGGTTTCATGATTTGATCAAAATTGATTTTATATCCCATCATAAAGGTTCCCTGTGGTCTGTTCATCCCCAGCATGGCTGTTGGTGCTATTATGGGACGTATCGTTGGTATTGGCGTAGAGCAGTTGGTTGTGTTAGTATCACTCAAATATTTATAGTTTGAAGTTTATTTTAATTCAATTATACATTAGATTTCCTTTTTGTTATAAATTTTGTGCCAATCATCCAAATATTCTTACTTTTATTAATATTCAAATTACTTAATAGGAATAATCATACAAGAAAATAAAGAAAAAGCTTTATAGAGATATTTACTAAATTAATTTGGTTTATATATGAAGAAAAAATGGAGTTCTGTTAAATAAGAGACATTGGTTATTTGTAAATAGAAAAATATTAGATGATGATAATGGTAGATACTAAATGACTTCTTTTTTTTTTCTTTTCCAATTTTGTGTACATGTTGAATTTAAGCAGGATCAGATATATTTTCTCTTTTAATGTTTTATAATGATAACCGTAAATTGAACTGATTCCATATGGCTGCTTGGAAGCAATTTCTATTTTAAGTTTCTATACAAAATTTTAATTTCTGGAAGTATAATGAATTTTTTCTTCATAATTTCTTGTTAAAAAAAGAAAAAGAAAAAATATATAAATTTTGATCTAATTACAAAAAGATGTTAACTTTAGATTATACTTTTAACTTTGAAAATTTCTACCTTCTTTTTTTGTTCTAACTGAAACTTAATATTGCTTTTTTTTTTTATGTATGTTAGGGCTTATCGTGATTCCTGGTTTTTCTCCAATATGTGCACTGCTCAAGAAATGTGTACTGTAACCCCTGGTTTGTATGCCATGGTTGGTGCTGCTGCAGTTTTGGGAGGTGTTACAAGGATGACAGGTAAAGAATATATTACTTTTTTTTGTAAAATTTTGCAATAAGATCTATTTCATTAGAAATAATGTACTAAAAAAAAAACATTCTCCTGCTAATACACAACTTCTTACCACTGAATGAACCTTATAGGTTTTAATGTGTCAGAAAGTAGTATTACTAGATTTAAACTTGAGTTAGAAACCATAGTTAAAGAGCAAGATCAATAATGTGATCAGAATTAATAAAGTTTGAAATGAAAAGAAAAAAAGATGAAACAGCAACATTCATGCAAGCAAGCAAACAATATACTTAAAGCAAGTCAAACAGATAAGAAGGCAAAAGAATTCACAAACTAGAAGTTGGTGTTTGTACACAAAAGCAAGGTCAACCAAGCAAACACAGTATGTCTGTCTGATAGTTAAGGTAGATCTGGACTGAGTCATGTCAAAATTCAAGCCGTCCCATTTTTATTGGCTAAGAAAAATATCCCAGCATTCATTCTGTGTCCTTTTGATTATAAGAGGAGGAAAATTTATGCAATCATTCCCATTGGGAAATCAACAAAACTTTTAAAAGTTATTTCTTGTATTAAAATGCCATTGTGTTTTCAAATTATTTTTGCTAATGAAAAAACATCAATTTGGTTTGCAAGTCTAAATTTATCTAAATGCTAAAATTTAAAAATTATACATTCTGCAGTTTAGGAGTATATTTATTCCAACAAAATGGTGGAATTTTACTGTTTGTCATCAGTTGACAAAAATTACTATGCATATTAGTACAAATTAATTAGATTTTTGTAGGAATTAAGTCCTCTTTATTTTGGCATAATTTAACCTGAAATAGCATCCACGTCCTTGCGGGTGATGAATTATTTTCCACCCAGCAATCCATTTCTCACAAACGAAACATTACAAACCTCACACTGCTCTATCCCTATTTCTACGGAAAGTGTTCAGACAAAATACATTCCTTAGTTCTACCAATTCTAACCTTCACAGTTAAAACCCACCATATAGCAAACCACCCACATTCGCTTTGTATTCCATTGACAAGATGTAAATTGTACTTCTTCTTTTTTTTTTTTTTTTTTGTAAGACTCAATCTGTGCAAGGCCAAGAAGACACTCAATGTAGAGGGTTACAAATACTCGAATAGCTTCTTCCTACAAACTGCAACTCTGTTTAACTGATTTCCCGATCACTACAATCTTAACCTGTTTGAGTCTAAAGTTAATCGTTATCTTCCCCACATATCCATATAAACTGTTCTTCTTACTCTGTAACCCTCTACCTTGAGTAGCTCTTGGGGTTTGTACACAGTGAATATCATTGTAAAAAAAAAATAAAATAAAATAAAAAGTAAGAAAGAAGAGTTATTCTCCTTAGATCCAATTTGACCACATTAACAAGAGCATAGTTAGCTTGTTTCACAGACTATCACTAGTGTGTTTGATCTTCATTGGTTGCTCAATTACTATGACCCTTTGCCCCCCATTAAGCTTAGTAAATATCAACATTTAACTTTTGTTTTAATAATCATTTTGATTTATTTGTGTTTTATTTTTTGTATGTTTTTAATTTTTAAAATTTGTTTCCTTTTACTCCAACACGCCCCCACAATGTATGTCTTCTATCGTCATAAATGCAGACCATTTAAGTCATCTAGGTCATCATGATGAACTTTGTCTTTTGTTGGTTATGGTATCTTTTTGAAAAATTGTCATTCATTGGTCTGGTCTTGCTTGGTGGTCAGACAACTGGGCACAATGTCTTCTAAAGCATTTCTTTTTCCATGTCTCTTCAGGATGTGGGTGATCATGGCTCTGCACAATTTCCCTGTCCATTGTAGCTCTTAGCAAAGTTTTTTTTTTTTTTTTTTTTTTTTTTGTAACTCTCACATCTTGAAAGTCAGTAAAGGATCTGTCATTGAAATTTTTTTCTTTCCCCTCTAAATTGATGCTTACTTTCCAAAATTGTTTGAGAAAACTTATTTCATGTGTTAAACACATACACTACAAACTTCAAATAAGAAAATTCTCAGTGATTAATTTTAAAAAATCAGTTTTATTGATTATTAACTAAAAAGCAACTCTTTCCTTAAAGTGAAAGTTCCATGAAAGATGAATTTTCTGCTTTTCTTTTAATGTTTTCTACAAATTTAGAAAATGTTTTTATAAAAAATAATTAAAAATTTTTTTTTACGAAAAGATGACCCTTGTAAATATTGATGATTTTAATCTTTTCTCTATCTTCAGTGTCTTTGGTTGTGGTGATGTTTGAGTTAACGGGTGGATTATTATATATTGTACCCATGATGGCTGCAGTAATGACCAGTAAATGGGTTGGCGATGCACTGGGTCGAGAAGGAATGTATCCTTTTTATTTTCTTTTTTTTTTTTCAGTTTGTTCTTTCTGTGAGTATTGAAATTATTGCTAGTTATCATTTTATTAAAATGTTTTAAAAAAAAAAAATCTTTTTTTTAATCTCCAGTACAGACTCATTATTAAATGCATGGTTAAACCATGATTCATATACAGAGCAATATGTGCACATTATAAATAAGTGCTGTATTAACAGTAATCAAACCCATATTAATACACTGTATATCCTCCTTGGGGATTAACACAGGCCTATACTCTTGCATGCATGTAAGCATACAGATGGCAAATGCTCTCCTGTAATGCATTATTTCATGTTTCTTGAACTTGTTAACACAATACAGCAAGAGTTGTAGGTGGGCTAGCTGAACTGAGCAATTCAGACACCAACCTACATACATTGTACAGGGGAACAGGTCTCATCATTGAGCAGGCCAGGGAAGTTGTCTAGCATCTTGCAGAGCATGTTGACTAACATGGGCATCATGTGGGCAGGCATTATTGTGCTGGAACAGCAGAATGGGTTGAATAAGGATCTGTACATACATGACTGTTCAACCTTCTCTCCCTCCACAAGCACTGACATCCAATGTGAGTTGCAATTGATAATACCAAAAACCATAATGTTAGGTGTTAGGGCTGTATGTCATGGACGAAGATGCTCTGCATGATGTCATTCCCCAGGTTTATGTCTCACACACACACACACACACAAACACAAGTGACATCACTTATATGAATGCAAGACTTGCTCTCATCACTGAACACTACCAAGCAACATTGAATCCTCAAAGTAATCCTCTTTTAATACTACTAGAAACATGAACAATGCTGTTGTGGTATAATTGAATGTCTGGCTAGAAGCACTCATTCTCATAGTGCTTCTGCAAGTCCTCAATTCCAAATAGTCTGCATTGACACTCACTCAAAATGTTGTGTCTCTTCAGAACATAGGCAATCATGACTCTCCACCATCCTGGGCATGACGATAAACTACATCCAGCAGCAAGGTCTCTGATTGGGAGGTTTTGAGGAGTATGGGAACCACCTCTTAATTGCTGTTGTTCCCAGGATGGTAGCCAATGGTCAAATAATTAACACCCAAAGTCAAAACACTATGAAAGTATAAAAATAGATTTTAATAGTAAAAATACCAGCAATACATTTTAAAAAATATTACCAGCAATATATTTGATTCTTGACAAAAACCCTCTTTACAAAGATACATCAATGAAACCTGATCTACAAACTGATTTCTTACAAAGAATATATATTCTATTCATACAAACCTATCCTGAAGATCTTGTTGACATTAAATAACCCATTAAGGTTGATATGCCAGAAAACAAAATAAGCCAAACATGACCTACAGATTACTTTTCTATATTATCTCTAAATTGCCAAGCATTCTTGGAAAAGATCATGGTGTAGTTTCCCATTGCCTTCTTCATGGTTTTGAATTCAGAGTAATCCTTCTGCTAGACTGGCTGCCACCCAAAGCTAGAGAGCCCAGTCTACCTTGCTGTTTAACCCATAGCTGAGAAACAAGAAGAAATACGTCCAGGCCTTCCTAAGGGCATTTGTTCAAAAGTATAAACAACAGATGAATCTGCAATTTGAAGCTCACCAAAGCTACTTGCCATGCCAATATCTACTATACTACTAGCACATACTGGGGCCACATTTACTCTGATTTGTATTATGAGCACCATGTGGTCTTTCATTGCTGATCTTATATTGTGTAAATTTTGGTAAGCATCTTATGGCTATATCACATTGAAACACCAGTTCTCATATGATGACCAAAGCAATATTGAGCTTGTTCAGTACCTAGTTGGGTGACCACTTTTGGAATACCAGGTGCTGTAAGATTGGAGGTGTGGGTAGTGTAATGAATAACTATTCGCAATTGGATATTGGGGAACTGAGAATCAATTCCAGTTGGGTTCATTATATTGACTTACATGCAAATTCTCACCTCTTCTCCCCCTAACTATGGGTTAATTAGTAAGACTTGTGTCAGTAAATCATTATTATCTCAAACAAATTCTTACAATCTAAAAATATTGACTTGCTTTAAATAACCTGCAAAGTATTATTAAGACCAATGAATCTTGTACTATTTGGCCATTCGGCACCTAGTCTCAAAGTGTAGGAATGTTCATTTGTCAACTGTTGCCAAAATTGAAGCATCATCAATGTCTGACTTATGCAGCTATTTTTTTTTTTTTTTTAAATAACTGTTCAACCCTTGGAAGACCCACAATCAAACTGCTCTAATTGAACAAAAAGAGTATAGATGAGTTTCTATGGCATAAAACCTGCTTGTCATGGAGTCTTTCACTACATTGAACCTTATCACGGCATGCATCATTATCTAGACATCAGGCACAGATTGTGCACTGGTATGAGTGTTGCTACAACAAATGCTGACTGAAAACTTTGAAAGTTTTATCAAAATACCTACTATCTCCTTGCATGCACTTATTGTACCCAAATGCAGTTTTATTTTCTATCAATATATGTCAACATTTAAGATAAAAACAAATTTATATATTTAACAGCTTTAGATATTTACTTGTGGTCTTTGGTACAGATTGTTGGTTTTTACATTAAAAAAGAATGAACATTTAGCAAATATTTTGGAAGATTTATTGATCTTTTTTTATAAATTCAAATTGTATCCTTTTTGTGCAACAAAGGTCATAGCTCATGATATGCTGGAACACAGAGAGAGAGTGAAATGCCTTATTTGTAGCAGGCAGTTCTTTGTGGTTAGAGCAATGAATCCACGTGTTGCACTTTTTGACAAAAGGGTAGAAAGAACTCACTTCAAAGCATTCTTATCCTGGTCTTATATTGAGGTTGAGAAGTGCAGTAGGATTGTTTTTTGTTTTAATCTTTGCCTATCCACCATCCTGGATAAGACTATAAACTACATCCGTGTCCTTAGTAAGACAATAAACTACATCCAGCAGCAAGGCCTCTGATCAGGAGTTTTTGAGGAGCGTGGAACCACCTCTTAATTGCTGGTGTTCCCAGGTCCATCCTGACCCAGGGTGATAGCACCTGTTAGGGTTCCAGCTATAGGTAAAGAGTTAACCCCAAAATTGTGGTCAAAACACCATGAAAGTGTAAAAATAGGTTTTAATACCAGAAATACTTTAAAAAATTATTACCAGCAATATATTTTTGAAAAAAAAATATTACCAACAATATGTTTTTAAAAAAATAAATATTACCAGAAATAGATTTTTGACAAAACAAAATATTACCAGCAATAAAAATTTTGTCAGCATTACATAACCCATTGAGGTTGATATGCTGTAAAACAAAGCAAACCATCTTTGTCTATCCAAATATCTAGTTTCAGTAATGAACTTACGATTGACCTGTCCTTAAGAATACCAGTATTAATGTTAATAAGATTATAAGCAAGTGATACTTTTCAAGTGATTTAAGAAATATTTTTATTTATTAAACTTTGCCTGCGACTACATACTTTTAAATCATTTCAACACTTGTAGTAAATTGTATTTCTTTCCAATGACTAAAAAAGTAGTTGAGGACAATAACATACGTTTGATGGTTTCATATACATTTCTAGATATTCACCCCCTGCCATACATGTCAACCACATAATTTTTTTTTTCCTTAAGTCGCTTTCTAGTTATGATGCTCATATACGACTGAATGGTTATCCATATTTAGACAGCAAAGAAGAGTTCACACATACAACAATGGCAGCAGATGTCATGCGACCACGGTAAGAATTTTCTTCTTATTTAGAATTTTTTTTGTCTTCACATGCAAAACTAATTACACTTAATGCTATTTACTAATATTAGAGCAGTTTTTATGGGACTTTTCAGCTTGTTAACAATATTAACAGTTATTTTTTTTCAGATTTCTTTTCTACTTCTTTTAACCTGAAAAAAAGGACAAAAGGCAAAAATGAATTGTAGTTTTCTTTGTTGTCTTCATTCTTTCCTGAATATATTTAATTTTAAATTATGAAAGTGAACAACAAAATTTTCTTTTTTATTACATTTCCAATTCACAGAGAGAGCTCTCCAAATAGTGTCAATTACAAAAAAAAAAAAAAACTTTTTCATACTTGTTTTAATAATTTTTTTTCTTTTTCAATTGTAAAAAGATATATTTTGGCTAAGCCTTCAGCAGACCTAAAATAAACTTGAGTTTTGAATTTAGCCAAAATATTGATATACAATACATTAGTGTTTAGCTGGTTTAAAAAATATCTATAAAACAATCATAAAGTTTAATATTGGGGGTGGGGGAATAACAGTAAAAAATATTTGACACTTCCATAAAATGGTTAATAAACTTCCTTGAATGTCTTTAAATTATTTCAGGATCTTTATTCTCATAATTCATGTCTTTGTCAGATTTTTCTCTATTAATTCACTGTATATTTTGATTGGTACATTTTTCATATCTGTAATAAACTTACAAAAAGCAGTTTTTGAAATAACTACTTTGAAAAGAGATTTTAGTGTTCATGAATTTTCCTAAAAGAAAAGTATATATGTAACATACATATTCACCTGGTTGGTGTAAAATGACCCATTTTAAACAAAATCTAAACCAAACCATCGTGAATTTTTAAACAATTTTGCTTCTCAAATATTTTAGTGACAAATTGTAAAAATGTTAGAACCATATTCCAGCTGCTTTATTTTATATATATTTAAATTGACTACAGGAAAGTATAGAATTTGTACACAATTGGAATATTTTATATCCTGTTGTTCACTGGCATTTTGTAATATTTTTTAATATCATTCTTTAAAAAAGGACCATCTTTTCTAGTGTTTGTTCCCTTAAAAAATTCACTGATTATTTCAATTATTTTCATGTCTCATTATTTCCAGAAAAATAATCATTTTCCTCAAAAAATTAAAACAATTTCATCTGTTTTCATTCATTTTTCCATTTTACAGATTTTTCTTTCTTTCATTTTATTAGTTATATACTTAAAAAAAAAAAAAAATTGGACAATGACATTATCGCATAATAAACTCTTGGAAATAGAAGGGCTGAAAGTAGATTTCAAGACATTGAACATTTAGAAAACAATCGAAAAAGAAAAAAACAAGTATAATTGGAGATAAAAGAAAACACTACATCCATTTTTTTTTCTTTCATGCAAAGGTACTGGAGATATGGACTAGGCGTGTAAGTCTTGTATTTTCTGCTACATCTACCCCCGTTCTGCCTATGTAGAATGCTTCACCGTTTTGATTGGCTGCTTGACATATCTGGTTACCCTAGACTTTTTTTTATGTGGTCATTGTATGTAATGTAAAATTCTCTGAATTTACTGTCTTGTGCACAAATTCCACATTTTTTTTTTTTTTTTTTTTTTTTTTTTTTCCACATCTCTGATTATATTCCTTACCCTTGAATTTCTTGACTTGGATCTACTTGACTCAGTTTGTAGAAACCTTTATCAATCTTCTGCTCTTTATTTTTTCAATTTCACATATTGCATTGAATGGAAGAACCTGTTAAGAAAATATCAAACTTAGTTTAATATCATAATTAATTCAGGCTGGAAGTTTTCAGGCTGACTTTTCAGGCTTAGTCTTTTTTTTTTTTTTTTTTTTTTTTTTGTTGCTTTGTTTTTTTTTTTTTTGTTTTTGTTTTTGTTTCTTGTTTTTGTTTTTGTTTTTTTTTTTTTTTTTGTTTTTTGTTTTTGTTTTTTTTTTGGTTTTTTTTTGTTTTTTTTTGGTTTTTGTTTCTTGTTTTGTTTCTTGTTTCGTTTTGGGTTTTGTTTTTGTTTTGTTTTTTGGGGTTTTTTTTGTTATATAATAGTTCAAGATCAAAAATAATTTCTCCTTTACTAGAATTATTGAGATCCAATTTTAATTAACAAAAACAAATACTGACACAGGCTGCATGGCATTTACCCGTAATTTTATATTGTAATTTATTCATTCCTTGTAAAATATGGACACAAGTCAGAAACGACGAAAATGTAAAATTCTAATATTTAAAATCTTGATTTTTTTTTTTAATTACCATTTACAATTTAATAAAATTAAGCCACATTTAAACATAATTTGTAAGAACAAGGTCTTGCTATGGCTTTTTTTCTTTTTTTTTTTTTTTTTTTTTTTGTTTAATCACCAACAGAATGAGTCTTACATTGTTTCTTATAAAAGAGATTCATTTTGATTATCACTTTTCTCAAAAATAAAACAAACTTTTCCACACACACTATATATACCATAAGACCAGGGTTTGAATCTGACCATGGTCGATTTGTCAGGAAGGAAACTTCCTGATGTTATCAGACTGGATCCAGGTCAAACCCAGTTTGCAGCATCTTTGGAAATTGTCTGAAAGCCATACCACGGGTTGACCCAAGCCTTGTGACTGAAATTGGGTTGACAGAACTCTTGGGGGTTGTCAATAACTGCTAGCACGAAGTCACAAGTCATCATGGCCGAGGGCGTGAGCATGCTAGCCTTGTTCAAATTGTTGATCATGCTAGAAAACATGCTCTCTCCCAGAAATTGTAACAAAGGTCTGCTCAGCATAGTTGTAGTATAAAACACTGGTTGGCTCTGTGCATGTTGAGCAAACAGAAATGTGCCCAAGGGAGCGTCTGCAATAGGGATTGGCTAACTGCCCTAGTAGACGGGTATCCTTGAATATGAGTGGCCAGCTATTATTATTATTATATATATATATATATATATATATTGTATGACAAAGTGTAAACAGTTTACTTGTGATGTGTTTCATCCTTCAGGACTTCATCAGACTAGGGCAAAGGACAAAATGCATCACAAGTAAATTTTTTCCACTTTGTCATACAATCCCCCTCCAATTCTATACTTGATATATAAAAATGCATATTGTTATCGTGTGTGTGTGTGTGTGTGTGTGTGTGTGTGTGTATATATATATATATATATATATAAACAAGTTGTATTAAATTCAACTGACAAGGTCTGTTTAATTTTTTTTTTTTTTACTTTTTAATTTTCAAAAAATCTTTGCATATTGGGATTAAAATTGAGAATAAATTGTTCAACATTCATGTTTTTTTTCTGTTAAAACCTGTTTAAATGAACACTTCCTGCGCGCACACACACACACACACACATATATATATATATATATATATATATATATATATATAAAACATCCATTCTTCAGGAGACTTGGTGCCAAAATTTCCTCAAATACAGTCACTTGATGTTAAATGCTATAATTACAAAGTTTGCTTGCATTAAGAATGTCATCTTCAGAATTGCCTTGTTTGACTGTTTTTTGTGCAAAGAACAACCTTTGTTTATATATATATATATATATATATATAGATTTCATTAGTGGTACATATCTGAAATCTATGATTAACTTTTGTTTTATGGAGAATAAATTTGATAACTAGTAATAATTCAATATATTTATCATACCATCCAACCCTGATGAGTCGGGGTTATACAAAAATTTGGTCAAATGAGATAATCCATTTGACATTTATTGATTGGTTTATTTGTTTATTTTTTGATTGGTGGGTGGTATATATACACACACACACACACACACACACTGTGAAAGAAATTTTTTTTTAGCATACAGTCTATTATCTTCACCTGCATTTAACATCTTTTATTTATATTCCTATTAAAATGTTGAAAGTTTCTTTATAATATAGACAATGATATAAAGTTTGGCTATGATAAAATCTAGACACGTCAGTGAAAATGGCCATATTTCATTTAATCAACAAACTGTACAATTTGATCTGGGACAGAAATTTTAAATAATGTACTTTAACATTGAACTCTATAAATTCTTATGTAGAATTTGTTTGTAAACAAGTGTTTGATTTAACTAACAAATTTAACTAATTTTAACTTCTAATCACTCATGAATTGTTTTCTTATAATAATTCAGTAAGGAATCTGTTGTCATACAAAACTGTTGAGAGTAAAGATGCAACATAGGTTAACAATGACTTTTAAAATTGTTTTAATAATGATATTGGTAAAATGTTTCCATGCTTAATGCAACAGAAGAATAAGATGAAAAGAATTTAGTCTTCTGTTTAACAATAGGAATAATTTCTTTTTTTTTATCATTTCACTCCAAGCAAGACAATGCCACTAAGATGCAAGGGGTTACTGGGAGTGAAAGAGAATGAGGGGGTAAAAAAACTAGTGAAGAGAAAGGACAATAAAAGAGCAGGATTTAGAAGGACAGAAGATGGTGATTGACATTGCATTTACATTTTTGAAAATTGTAGTTATCAGGGAAGCAAGAAATCAGAAGGGAGTTCCACAGGTAAGAAAAACTATTAAAGTAGAACATACGGTTGCATCTATCTAGTTCAACAGTAAAGTGTTGAGACTTAGTTGCCAATCTAGTAGCACACTTAAATTCATGCAGTCAAGGTACCAAGAAAGAAAGCTCATCAGAACAATTGGCATGAAAATATTTCTAGAGAAGATAGAAACCACATCATGTCTGTGAGAAAATGTACTTGAGTTGAAATGCCAGGTCAGGATTCATTACATTACAGACCGTTCTTTGGATTTTGTCAAGAATCTTGAGCTATCTAATAGAAGTACAATATATGGCCCAAATATGGCAGCAATATTCAATGCACAGAAGAAGGGTAGATTTATAAATGGGAATGATGGATTCTGATGAGTAGAATTGTCTGGCATGGCACAGTGAACCAACTTTCCTAACAGACCTAGAAATTTATTAAATTTATTAATTAGA